TTCTTATTGTAAATAATAATTTGTTGAACATGTTTAATATTCCTACCATCATTTCATAGAATATTATAATACATATTAGAATGGCTGTCAACCTTATTTTGTACGAGGATAGGTGTCGCCGGGAGCACACATACAAGCAATTACATCATATTATTACTACTACAAACTCGATTTGCTGTTTTGACAGACTGAGCGAATTTACACATTTTAGACTTTTGATTAATGTTTTGACTCATTAATATTTCTTTATTTTTGTTTCAAATATTTACAAAATATAAATAGTTTCAACTTACTGGTTGTAGGATGTGTTTCCTTTATTTAAATTTCTGTTCTTTCAACACGTAATTATTGCTCAATTTGCCATTTTTTAAATAATTTTCATGCAGTGACGCTGGACACGAAAATTTAAAACGATTGATTATCTTGACATTTATAGGTGTGAATTGACATGTTAGCGACATGGCTACATGGGCTCCGCCCACTCCCTTGTTCTATTATGTATGTATTATAGTATTCTATGATCATATTAGTCTGTACATTTAAGCAAACTGTAGTATGTATATAATGATATCGATGGATGTAGTCTTCTTTAGTGACTTACCGGTAACCGGTAAGCACAGGGAAAAATCGAGTGTATTTATTTTTAAATATTTCAAGAATGCTTTTTGTTATTGTTTTTGTAAAATTTTATACTAAAAGATAAATACTTAAGTATTAATTTTGTAAAATTGCAATGAAAATAATGTTTTTTATGTTCCAAATACACGAATCTTTGTAAATTTTGCGATTAAAAGATCCAAAATTTTACTTCAATAAATATAAGACAAAAACGTAATTTACTGCCAAAATGTATGAAAGATAGATATAAATAGAGTTATTCAGAACCATGCGTATGATAAATCCATACTTTATTATTATAATGCCGATGTCTATCTCAAGATTTTATGGCTAAACCGCTGAATCTATTTTTTACAAAATTATATATAGGATAGTTAAAAGCCTGGTTAAACCAAAAAAGTGATACCACAGCTAAGTAGGCTGTGAAGCCTACTTAAGTTTAGTCGTTATAAGCCGTTAAGCCACCAATTTGGATAAAACGATGAAATGGGTATAAAACTTTGTATAGGAAATGCTAAGCTATTCAACCGATTTTGACGAGATTTGGCGTTCAGATAGCTGGTAAGAATAAAAAGTCTAGGTTACCCTTTATCCTCAAAGAGATAACGTGATATGACTGAATTCCACATGGAATAAAACGTATTCGTATACACATTTATAAACATAAACGTATAATTTGTTATCTTTGAAACGTGTTGGCCTGTTTATCTAAGTTAGTTAACATACACAAATTGCAATAGGTTACTATGAATACAAAATTAACTTGGTAACGTACAACTATAAAACTACTAAATTAGTAAACTACTCGGTAACGTTGGTTTATTAAGAAAGTACTTACTTCCTTTCACAAAGAATACCGTATTTACGGAATAATAAAATTTATTCAAAGTTATGGATTACTAACATTTATTAAAAGCTTACTAGGTAGGCCCTAACAATTCAACCCATCCGTAATCATTATTCGATCGAGTGTGTATGTGTTCTATGTATTATTTAAATTCGGATCTCCAGGAAAACTGCGAAATTGATTTATGGAAACGAAAAATATCAAAAAAAAGCAAACGCGAAATCGGATGAAAAGGTATGAACATATATATATATTTATATATATTTACTATTAATAAAATGGGTCCACCCAACTCTTGTGGGTAATAAGGCGTGAGGAATAGTATATAATATATACTATATAAACCCCAACCAGAGATCGAATATAAAAAATTTGCAAAAATGTTATACTATAGAGGGAACAAATTAACAATTTATTAAAAAAAATTGATATTTAGTTTATTCGAGGACAAATATCGTTATCTATCTAACTTTTCATTAGGCCAAGTACAAATTTAAAAGCGACAATATTCTCCGGCTTATCTCGGCAAAACTTTGTTACATCTCTAGTGCTTCGAATATCTGTTATTTTTGACACATCAATATTTTTTTAGGTAACATCATAAGAGATGTGCTGACATTTATACGTGTGAATTAATATTGTTACGAGCTTGAGGTTCGTGACAGTAAAAAATGCCGACTGAATTACCAAAATTAACACTTTTAATCGCCGAACACCAACTAAAACTTAAAAGACACTAATAATTAATCACACTGATTCACTTTATTTCGCTTCGAAGCTTCGCTTGTCTCGCCAAATTTAATACTTCCTCGATCGCATCTTGCAGCGCCTTTAAATACACATTATCACCGAAACATCCAGAATATTCAAGTAAATACGCGCGCCAATCGACTAGGCGCCGAAAGTTCGAGTGACAGGCTTCTAGAAAGGTTAGTTTTTCATTTCGATACTAGATGGCGCTGTCGGTTGAAAGATTAGTGATGTCATTTTCTGGAAAGCTCTCTTCACTCCGTTACCCGACTCAGATGGCGCTAGTGCCGGGTACATGACGTCAACTTAGGCGCGCAACAATATGTTAGTGACAAATTAGTGGCTACACGGACTCCACCCACTCCCCCGTTCTATTATATACAGTAAACCCTCGTTAATGCGAACACGGTTAACACGAATTTTGGTTTAAGGCGAACAAAAATTTGCTCTAGACAATAGTTCCCCTGTTGCTTCAAGAGATGCGCACTTTAGATCGTACAATTCCTACCTTACGACCGCTCCAAAAGAGCACTAATTAGATCAGAATTACTGCCCTATGAAAACTTTTTTATTAAACTATTTTTTCGTTTTAAACAAAACCAAAGACACTATGCAATAGATAATAGTATCAAAGACAAAGATATGCTCTTTTATTTTAAACCATAACCTGGCAATGTTTCTTAAAAAAAAAAAAAGAAATCACTCTGAACTTTCGGCGTTCCACGTGTCGCTTTTATGAAGGTGCTCCGTCTTTTTTTATAGAATTTTATATTTGTGTCTGGACTAAATATGAAAGTATTATACTTTTTAATATTCCTTGTAATATAGTAAACACGTAGATATATAATTTGTGGTATAAAAAGTGAAAATTAAATTGCCAAAAGCACTTCAAAATCCGGAAGGCCCATATTGGCGGTTGGGTCATAAATGTGTTATTTTTCAAATTCTCATTTATTTTTAGTGTAAAATGTAAGTAAAAATAGTTTTCTTACATATTTCAATTACTTGACGTTGTATTTATTTCAAATTCACACAAAACTATTTTTGAAATATTGTTCGAAATGTCATACAGATAAAATATATTTTTTTTAATTTTTTAATATTTTAATATTTTGGTATAGGTAACGAATAGAAACTCATAAAACATAAATATATACATATTTCCAAACATTTTCATATAAATTTCTCCGAAAACAAAAGTGTAGAATTCAAATTAGTAGTAATTTTGTCACTAAAATTGAAGTATATACTACTACTATGCTATCCAGGGTAATTTATGTATTTTATTACAATTTCTAGCAACCAAAAATAATTTTATTCGATAGTTTACACATTCAACAAGAATTCCTGTAAGTTTTATCCATAAATATTGTCTCACAGTGAAAATATAGCAAAATTTGCAATATAGCAAAAAATTTTCTAACTTACAAATTTTCCCGCCATTAAGGTCCCGAGCGAACGGGAGTATAAAATGTCGCGCGCTGTCAGAGCGTACATAATAAGCTTCAATATAATTATGTTCGGTTAAGACGAACCCTCGTTAATCCGAACTTCGAACAACTTTTTCGTCCCTTCATGGTTAATATTCGGATAATACGAACTACAAAAATTCCCAAATCATGTATTTTGTATATTTTTTGTCCTTTTTCGGTAATACAAATACCGGTAAATAATGGCTGTAGAGGTTATAAAAGTCATTAACTCGAGTTTCTAAAAATAGACAAAGGATTAGGATATCAAACATTCACTCGAGTACCTACGCCAATCTACGCAAAATGAACTGACTATGTCCTGATGAATCTGTATGAGTCTGAATATGAATCTGATGTAATGGTCGGCAGATTTGATAGACCACAAATCTTCGCGAAAGAACACCGATTCCTACCAAGGATGATACGTGAGGCTATTGAAATTAAAAAAAAATCCTAATTTCAATAGAGAAGGAGGCTGGGTACTACCACCTGCTTGGGATCCTATAATCAATAAAAGTAAAACTAAACCCAAGCATACCACTGCAAGACCTCAGGACATAGTCAGTTCATTTTGCGTAGATCGGACCATAAACAATAATTAAAAAAGCTGAAGGTACTCCGGGTTTAACAATGACATCGGGACGTCAGTCATCTCAGTCCCCCGTGACCATGGGTGCTGGAAAGCGCCCGAACCGTCGGGAATTAAAAATAAAAGTAAATAAAAAGTAAAATAAACGCGATAAAATCCGTAAAAGTAGTTTTAATCATGTATAGTGTTCGCGTAAATATAAGAAATCATTATTGATTCAAGATAGCAAAATTAGTAATTGAGACACACGCCTCATCAAAAATGTTATTGCATCATCTGGTACTGAGTAAATTGCCGGCACATGCTTATGTTTTGACTATCATTGTGAGAAAAAAGTATTTCGTTGTGTTATTCTTAGTAAAAACTTATAATTATATGATAAAAATGAGTGGCAGGAGATCTACTCCTTGGACTTATTTTAGAGAAACTAACGACCAAAGTAAAGTGAAACGTACTAATGTAATTTTTTTGGTTTGATTCCGAAAATATTCTATCAAGGTTTCTATTTGCTATAATTGGAACTAAATCTACAGTGCCTCAAAAACATAACAACAAATAAATTATTAAAGACATGGCATTACTCAATTCCAACATTCAATACAGTAGACACTTAGAGTACCACAAATGTTCAGCAATTTAGCCGAATATTCTGCCGAATACGCATATTCGGTAAAAATGACGAATATGCCGAATACAGAATATAAAACGAATAACCGGCCCATCTCTAATCATCATCAACATCGTCACCATCATCGTCATCGTCATCGTAATTGTCATCGTCCTCGACATCGTCATCGTCATGGCCATCATCATCATCATCGTCATCATCATCATCATCCTCGTTGTCATCATTAACATCGTCATCGTCATCGTCATCAAAATCATCATCATCGACACCGTCACGCTCGACATCGTCATCGCCATTGTAATCATCATCGACATAGACGTCGTAATCGTCATCGTCATCTTCATCGTCATCATCTTCATTATCATCATCCTCATCGTCATAATTATCATCGTCATCGTCATCATCATCAACATCGTCACTATCATTGTCATCGTCATCTTCATCGTCATCGTCATCGTCATAGTCATCGTCATTGTCATCGTCCTCGAGAGCGTCATCTTCATCGTCACCATCATCACCCCCAACCATCAACATCATCACCTATCGCCATCGTAATCTACATAGAAATCGACGTCGTCATCGTCATCCCCATTATCATCATCCTCATCGTCATCATCGTCATCGTCATCATCATCAAAGTTTTCATCGTCATCATCATCATTGTCATCATCTTCATCGTCATCATCAGCGACGTCGTCATTGTCATCAACCTCGACATCGTCATCTTCATCGTCACCACCATAAACATCGTCTTCATCATCGTCATCAACGTTATCATCGTCGTGGTCGTCATCAGCAACATCGTCATCGTCATTATCATCATCATCGTCATCAATATCATCATCCTCATCGTCATCGTCATCATTATCATCATCGTCATCCTAATCGTCATCATCATCATCATCATTATCATAATCATCATCATGGTAATCGACATCAACATTGTCATCTTCATCGTCATCATCATCATCATCCTAATCGTCATCATTATCGTCGTTAACATCATCATAATCATCATCATCATCATTGACATCGACATCGATATCGTCATCGTCACCGTCTTCGTCATCTTCATCATATTCATTATCATCATACTCATCGTCATCATTAACATCGTCATCGTCATCGTCATCATTATCATCGTCATCGTCATTATCATCATCCTTATCGTCATCATTAATATTGTTATCGTGAACGTCATCATCATCATCATCGTCATCGACTTCGAAATCGTCATCGTCCTCGACCTCGTCATCATAACCGTCATCGTCATCGTCATTGTAATCATCCTCGACTTCGTCATCGTCATCATCATCGTCATCATCATTATCATAGTCATCATCATCGTCATCGACTTCGACATCGTAATCATCATCGACAACGACGTCGTCATCCTCATCGTCATCTTCATCATATTCATTATCATCATCCTCATCGTCATCATTATCATCGTCATAGTCATCGTCATCAACGTTATCATCGTCATCATCATCATCGCCATCGTCATCATCAGCGTCATCGTCATCGTCATTGTCGTCGTCCTCGACATCGTCATCTTCATCGTCACCACCATCAACATCGTCATCGTCATCGTCATCAACGTTGTCATCGTTATTTTCATCATGGTGCTAATCATCATCGTCATCGTAATTGTCATCGTCCTTGATATCGTCATTGTCATCATCATCCTCATCGTCATCATTAACATCGTCATAGTCATCGTCACAATTATCATTATCATCGTCATAGTCATCGTCATCGTCATCGTAATTGTCATCGCTCTTTACATCGTCATTGTCGTCGTCATCTTCATCTTCATCGTCATCGTCATCATTATCGTCAGCGTCATCGTCATCGTCATCGTCATCTTATCGTCATCATCATCGTCATCGTCATCATCATCCTCATCGTCATCGTCATCGTCATAATAATAATCATCATCGTCACCGTCATCGTAATTGTCTTCGCCCTTTACATCGTCATTGTCGTCGTCATCTTCATCTTCATCGTCATCGTCATCATCATCGTCAGCGTCATCGTCATCGTCATCGTCATCCTAATTGTCATCGTCCTTGACATCGTCATTGTTATCTTCATCATCATCGACATCGACGTAATCTTCTCATCGTCATCTTCATCGTCATCATCTTAATTATCATCATCCTCATCGTCATCATTACCATTGTCATCGTCATCATCTTCAACATCGTCACCATCATTGTCATCGTCATCATCTTCAACATCGTCACCATCATTGTCATCGTCATTTTTATCGTGATCGTCATCTTTACCGTCATCGTCATAGTTATCGTCATTGTCATCGTCCTCGACATCGTCATTGTCATCGTCCTAAACATAGTAATCATCATCGACATCGACGTCGTCATCGTCATCGTCATCTTCATTATCATCATCCTCATCTTCATCATTATCATCGTCCTCGACATCGTCATCGTCATCTTCATCGTCACCAAACTCATCGTCATCTTCATCGTCATCGTCAGTCATCGGCGTTGTCATCGTCCTCAACATCGTGATCATCATCAAAATCAACGTCGTTATCGTCATCGTCATCTTTATCGTCATCATCTTCTATATCATAATCATTATCTTCATCATTATCATCTTCATCGTCATCAACGCTGTCATCGTCATCATTATCATCATCGTCGTCATCGTCATCGTCATCATCAGCGTCATCGTCATCGTCATTGTCATCGTCCTCGACATCGTCATCTTCATCGTCACCATCATCATCATCGTCATCGTCATCGTCATCGTAATTGTCATCGTCCTTGACATCGTCATTTTTTCGACATCATCATCGACATCGACGTCGTCATCGTAATCGTAATCTTCACCGTCATCATATTCATCATCATACTCATCGTCATCATTATAATTGTCATCATCATCGTCATCGTCCTCGACATTGTAATCATCATCGACATAGACGTCGTCATCGTCTTTGTTATCTTCATCATCATCATCTTCATTATCATCATCCTCATCGTCATAATTATCATCGTCATCGTCATCATCATCAACATCGTCACCATCATTGGCATCGTCATCTTCATCGTCATCGTCATCGTCAGAGTCATCGTCATTGTCATCGTCCTCGACAGCGTCATCTTCATCGTCACCATTATCAACATCGCCATCGTAATCTACATCGACATCGGCGTCGTCATCGTCATCCCCATTATCATCATCCTCATCGTCATCAACATCGTCATCGTCATTATCATCGTCATCATCATCAACACCGTTATCATCCTTATCGACATCATTAACATCGTCATCGTCATCGTCATCATTATCATCATCATTGTCATAATTATCATCATCCTCATCGCCATCATTAACATCGACATCGTCATCGTCATAATTATCATCATCATCGTCATCGACCTCGAAATTGTCATCGTTATCGTTATCGTTATTGTCATCGTCCTCGACATCGTCATCTTCTTCTTCATCATCATCCTAATCGTCATCATCATCGTCATCATCATCGTCATCATCGTCGTCATCATCTTCATCATAACCATCATCATCATCATCGACGAACAGGAATGCGGCGCTAATGAGGTCAAGGACACAGTTTGCGTAAAATGCCAAAACTTTTACTTAAGGTACGTTGATGATAAACCAAATGAAATAAATTTAATTTTGGGCAATCACAACTTAACAATGGAACTAGATTCAGGCTCGAGCAGCTGTGTAATTTCTGAAAAATTGTATGCTGAAAAGTTTTCCGATTATCATTTAAATAACAGCAATATAAAAATATGTCTGTATAATGGGCATAAAATCTCTCCACTTGGATATTTCTGGGTTGAAGCTTGTTATAATAAAGTTAAACACAAAATAAAAATTTATGTTGTTAAAAATGGGGGCCCTACCCCTGCTGGGTAGAGATTTTATGTCCGCGTTTAATTTAATTATAACAACTAACATAATTTCTATGTGTATTGATAAGAATGTAAACAATGTATTGCAAAAGTTTCCTAATTTGTGGCAGGATGAGTTAGGTTCGTTCAATAAATTTAAAGTATGTTTACATTTAAAGGAAAATGCAAAACCTAAGTTTTTCAAGCCACGAACCGTACCCTTTGCCCTTAGGGATAAAGTCGAAGAAGAGTGAACCATTTAGTAACCTTAGGTATTTTAGTTCCAATTGACCAATCAGAGTATCCCACGCCTATTGTACCTGTTTTGAAAGAAAACAATAAAATAAAAACAGCAGGAGATTTCTCGGGCACGCTGAATAAAGATCTTTTGATTGAAAGATACCCCTTACCTCGAATCGAAGAAGTATTTGCTAAAATTGGGGGTGGCGAACGATACAGTAAAATTGATCTTAAGAATACTTATAATCAATTTGTTTTAGATGAGCCATCCCAATTACTTACAACAATAAATACCCATAAAGGGTTATTTAAATATACAAGACTAGTGTATGGCTTATCTAATGCACCTGCAATCTTTCAAAAGGCTATGGAGACACTTCTCTCTGGCATAGATGGAGTCAGCGTATGGCTCGATGATATATGTATAACTGGCCCCAATAGTGATTCCCACATTAAAAGATTAGAAGAAGTATTAAGTCGGTTAAGTGACGCCGGGTTGCGACTACAGAGAGACAAGTATGATTTCTTTAAGGATAGTGTTAAATTTTTAGACTATGTCATAGATAAAAGCGGCTTAAAGCTGACTCGGAAAAAGTTCACGCTATCATTAATGCGCCCGAGCCGACTAACGTAACCGAAGTTAAGACATTTTTAGGCATGGTCATGGCATTATAGGAATTTTATACTTGTAAAAAGATGCTAAAATGTATTTTAAAAGATAACCTACCACAGCACCAAATTAATGAAATATTATTGGGATATTTATTAACTACAGGAACACGGTACGCTGTACAACCGGCGAAACGCCGGCTAAATTAATGTTTGGTAGAAATCTACGATCTCGTCTCGACTTAATTATACCCATAGAAAAAACACAATTAAATATGCCTTTAGTAACCAGTAGGAGATTTTTTGAATTAGGTGATACTGTTTGGGCTCGGTGGTACAGTGCCCGGAAAGAAACTTGGGAGTTAGGTACAATTAAAGAGAAGGTCGGTAGTAAAATGTACAAAATATTTATTATAAAATTCGAGTTTATACCCATAGAAAAAACACAATTAAATATGCCTTTAGTAACCAGTAGGAGATTTTTTGAATTAGGTGATACTGTTTGGGCTCGGTGGTATAGTGCCCGGAAAGAAACTTGGGAGTTAGGTGCAATTAAAGAGAAGGTCGGTAGTAAAATGTACAAAATATTTATTATAAAATTTGAAGCAACATGCATTAGACATATAGATCAGCTGTTAAAATTTACGGGCAACGATAATTCATTAAAAATTAATAATACTGATAATGTTGAGAGTCGCAATTTTCAGTCGTTACCCCTGTCACCGTCTATGCCCGTTAATGCTCCTTTATCCGAACCTTCTGTAGGCAATCCTCGGTCATCGACCATAGTAGAGCAACCCATTAATACTGACGAAATAGACCATGATAATGGGGAAGAATGGGGCGATTATTTGGCACAGGACAGCGTGGGAGACTCAACAGAGATTCCGGAAGCGTCAGATTCGCCTGAAGCTTCCGAAAACGGAGTCGAACAGCCTCAGAGCGATTCTGTCCACTCCAATGACGTACCACCAGCGCGGGCACCGACACTCGCTCGACAACTGCGCCCCAGGAAGAGGATAGATTATAAGAAATATTTTTAAATGATTCATTGTGTTATAAAAGGGCATTGCCCACTCTTCATAAACATTTCGGCCATGGGTGCCCACATATAAAAGCATATAGATATGATAATATACAATTAAAGGAATGAAATGGTTACGAAATTGGTTTAAAAAAAGTCGGGAATTTTAAGATATAAAAGCTTTTATTTTCACAAATACAGTTTTTTAACAACTAATTTTACCGATGTTATCGCATTTAATTTCTTTGATTTTTAATTCCCGTCTTTCGGGTGCTTTCCAACACACATGGTCATGGGGGATTGAGGTGACTGGTGTACCGAAATCAGTGTTAACTTGGAGTAACTTCAGCTTTTTAATAACTATTTATGGTCCGATCTACGCAGAATGACCTTACTGTCTTGAAGTCTTGCATGGTATGCTTGGGTTTAGCTTTAATTTTATTAATTACAGTGTCCCAAGCATGTGGGAATACCCAGCTTCATTCTCTATTGAAATTAGAATGTTTGAATCTGGGTGCAATACATTACCGACTTCAGATTGCAACGAGGATGAACTAGATGATTCAGATGGTTCCCGATCTGCAGTTGAATGTGATGCTGCTCTATCAAACCTTCGCCAACAATTATGACACACACGAGATGACGATGGCAACTGAAATAATATTAAATAAAAAGTGAAAAAGTGAAATAAATAAAAATAAAATAGATTTGTTTCCTTTAAACTCAAATACATATAAAATATTTATCAGGTTAATTGTTACTGCACAAAAGCAGACTTAATGGCCTATATTATTTAATAATTAAGCACTTAAAAACTACCAGTAGCCCAAAAACAATGAAAAATCAATTGTCTCATTACTTGGTAGTTAGTAAATACGATAGCAGTCTATCTGGTGGTGACAAGCTAATCTTATCGCCATGTTATAAATAAGCTTGTATGTTTGTCAGATATAGTTTGTGTGGATGTAATCAGAGTAAAAACATGTATCACTATCAGATATGAGCACACACAAATAATAAATTAAAAAATGTTGAACACGTACCTCACGTGGTGCAATTTGATGGGCAATTTCATTCCTTATGAGTTCCTCACGTGGAGAATCAGACCGAAACAATGTGTGTGATCTTATTCTCAAAAGTGACTTGCCACAGCTGATACATACATGTCCACGACTACTAATTGGTGAATTTTCCTGTTCGCTAGTTGGATGTCGTATTTGATTCCAGGCTGCAGTCTAACATGCGTGGCATACTACACTATCACTCGAAACTTGTACCTAATAAAGAAGCCATAATTATTATATCAATTGATATAATTATAAAACAACTCAGTTAATAAGCATTGCTGCAATTATACCATACGTGCCCATACGTGCAACAGCAAAGCTACCGCGTGGCTCTACCACTGTTATATCTCATCATCATCGAGTTCGACTTCGTCATCGCCATCTTCATCGTCACCATCATCGTCATCGTCATCTTCATCGTCATCTTCATCGTCAGCGTCAGAGTCATCGTCATTGTCATCGTCCTCAACATCGTATTCATCATCGACATCGACGTCGTCATCGTCATCGTCATCATCGTCAACGTTGTCATCGTCATCGTCATCACCATCATCATCATCGTCATCGTCATCATCATCATCATCATCGTCATCATCAGCGTCATCGTCATCGGCATTGTCATCGTCATCGTCATCGTCAGCGTCATCGTCATTGTCTTCGTCCTCGACATCGTCATCTTCATCGTCATCGTCATCGTCATCGTCA